ACGGTATGTGACGGTTGTTTCTGAGTGACGTGCATTCAGGAATCGGAACAGACCTGCTGCCACAGGTCCTGAATGATAGTTTTCTTGTTTCAGAGATGACAAGGTGAGTTCTTCTCCTCCTCTGGCTAAATTTTCTCCAAAGCCATCGCAGTGCAGTTGTAAACTCCAGCTGGCTTTTGGACGAACAAAAATGACCAACTATCCGCGCAATTATTTGTACCCTGATAGCAAAAGTTATCTGATCTGGGCCAGACACAAGTGAGCATCTGGCCCGGTCGGACCCGTAAACGGACTTGGGCCCGGGGTCTCTTGTTTTCTAATGGCCTCAGGCCCAGGCTCGATGCATTCAGGCCCAGATGAGGCACAAATATATAATTAGTGTTTCATTTTTAGGCTGATTTGGTCCAGACCCGGACCGGATCGGAGTCTAAACATTTTTTTGCAGGTGTCAGGTGGGCTCATGATCCCAGCCTGACCCAGATCTGGCACATGTGTGTGTAAACTCTCCGGTGACAGTAAAGCAGATGTGGCGACTTGTAAATGGATTTGGCCCAGATGTGAATGCTGTAGGTTTTGCCTCTCTCTGTATGTACACACACACACACACACATCAGTCACAGCTTATCGACATTGGGTGTAGCCTGTGTAAATGTCTGGGACCAGCTGATGGGCAAGCCTGTAAAGTTGGGGGGCCAATGACCCCCTGGGCCCCCCGGTTCCAGTGCCACTCTCACCCTCTGTGTGGCTATCTCCACCAGACAAACAAACAAGGACAAAAGCAAACAAATGAATGACACGTTTCACTGCTCGCTGGGCTGTCACTGAAGGTGCTGGCCCCCGGAGCACGAGTGTTTACAGGGGGCACCCTGTTCTGCTCCAGACCCCTGGGAGCTGCAGCAGACGACCTCATTAAACTTACTTACCATATCAGTCCTGATATGTGAGGAAATCCTGAAGTTAAAGCTCAGAGGATCTGCCCAAGATAAATGCACAGACTCGTCTTTTCTTAAAGAGTCAGCGACAAAAAGTGGATTGAACTGGAGTCCGAGCGAACAAATGTGTAACTGGGAGTTCTTTAGTGGGTCTCTAACGGCTTTTAGCAAACAGTTAGACAAAACAGCAAGACTCAGAACATTTCTCCAAGCTGCTGTGTCAACGGCATCAAATGAACTGCCGTTTTTTAAAGTACGGATTCATGCAGCTGGAATTTCTGTTCACACCCGCTCATCATCTGTTCTCCATTTCACACAAACTTTATTCAAACACAAACGTGTCCCGCTCACATGCTAATCTGATTTGACTTGGTTTTGTTGGATCCAACGCTCTGTTTTTACTTCTACTACTTGAATGTGTCCGTAAAACGTTGCCATTTGAGGGATTTTGTAATGTTGCCGGTATTTTATTGACAATATTGTCTGCAAGGCGTCCGTCTCGTGGTTTCAGGGTGAAAATCTCATTTAAATCTTTCAACGTGTTAAAACTATCGATGAACAAAGCCCCAGAAATCCGTCAGCATTAAAACAAAACATTTGAAAGTTGTAATTTTGATGAAAATGACGAGTTGGACTTGCACACAAATAAAGATTTTATAATACAATCACTGAGTTATTTTGAATTTATGCACATTTTTGGACATTCAGACATTGGAAAGTGGGCCTAACTCAGCTAAAACACAGGGACAAAGTAAACAGGACACAGCAATACGCTAACTTCAATACATTTATGGCTTTTAACTTGTTGAGGAAGTCCTTAATTCTCCTCTGCCTGGAAACTGTCAAGGTGAACATCCATCTCCTCAGGTGTCGCTTTAATTTGAAATGTTTCAACGTGTAAATCATGGCGCATCACAAATGTTTGGAGTTTGTTTCATTTGGCTGAGTGGAAAACAGCAGAGGCTTCTGGCCCAATGACAATAAACAAAAAGAGAAAACCTGACTTAAGCATTTCATGCTCGTTTTTAGGAATTATTCTGTTGTTTGTCTTGTTTTTAACGCAAAAAGTCCCGTTGTTCAATATCTAAGCTTGAACAAGGATTTTTTTTTTTTTTAAACAACTACAGTATGCCCAGCAGTGGTTAAAGTTAGAAGGTCGCAGGTTTGCCTCCCAGCATTTCTGTGTGGAATTTTTACATACCTGGCAACCGGGAAAAGATGTATTGGATTTTTTTTTAAATGGTCGTACGGACAAAATATAATTTTCTTTTTATTGTCTCTTAATTTATTTTTTTCATTTGTTTAAATCATATTTATTTGATATATTCCAGTTTGTAAATGTAAATAATGAATCTTCTTCATACACCAAAGTTAGTCATGGAGTTCCTCAGGGTTCAGTGCTTGGACAACTACTTATATATATATATATATATATATATGTATATATGTTTTCTCATATGTTATATGAGACTGGTTCTGCTAAAGGTTTCTTCCTCATGAGAGAGTTTTTCCTTTCCACTGTCACCTACGTGCTCGTTCAAGACGAGAGTCTGCGATGGAGTTAAATTCAAAGCAGTCTGCTGTTCAGATAAATAATGCTAAATTATGTTTTATATGAATGTTTCTGTTCGGTGCCCTGAGACGACTTCTGTTGTGACTTGGCGCTATATAAATAAACTGAATTGAATTGAATTTTAAGATAATCAGAAACAACCAACAGAATGGTGCCACCTCACAGAACTGAACATGTGACCATAAAGCCTCTGGGTTTGAAATCATCTAATGGTTGAGAACTATTCGAATGAATAACAAAGTCCATGCTCAATAATCCAGATATACATATTCAAATGAATCTAAACATGAACAATAAGACTTTATAATTTCTCTGACAACCAATTTGTAACGTGGGGGTGAGCAGCAGAATCGTTGTTGACTGTCATCATTCAGAAATGTTGGAAGACACTTTCAGTTTATCTCTTCTCTCTTGTTTTTATGATCTTTATGGCTGTTTGGCCCAAACACAACTCTGTTTTGGAAAATTAAACAAACCGCCTGTTAAAAGTAATAAATCTACACGTCAGCGTTTGGTTAGAAGGAACATTTGTCTCTTTTTTTTTAATGCAGTTGTGGAAATTCTGGTTTTGGCAGCACAACTTTTAGGTTCAAAACTCCGGCGTCGCTCTGCAGGATAAAGACGCTGCAGACTTTGTTTCAAGTTGCATTTCATTTGGTTTTCACCCATTTGTTTCAGGTTCGTCAGTTTTTGGATGGAAGTAGTTGAAACTTCTGAACTACTTTCAAACTTTCTACCCATCTGAACGACTGCTTTTACTCAGTGTGACATTCTTGAGTGTCTGCACCTTCACATTGTTAAGCTCTTATCAAAACAGACTAATGATTTAATTGGTGGTCACTTAGTACGAACAATAGCAGCAATTACCGGTAAAGTACCATTAGTATCAAGAGTAAGCAGAAGTACTGGTAGATTTCTAAACAAGATCTACCTTTCTTAATAAGATAGAATTTAACAGTAGTGCGTTAAGCTGCAAGAAAATCTCACTGTAAATATCAGCTTGTTGTTAAGCATCAGTATTTACACCAAGAAGTCCCACCTTTAATTTACTCAAAGTCAACAACAGATAACTGTCTCCAAGCACTCAGCATATTCTTTCAGTGCTAATGACGCTCGTAACGAATGCATTATCCGTCAGAATCAACATGTCTGTGGGGTGCTGTAATTAACAATGGGCAGGCTATGCATGTCCATTGTAATGGACCTTGACGCCCTACAGACAGCTGTGAATGGTCAGGAAACTGGGGAGCCACATTCGACAGTTACCAAGAAAAAATGTTTATATGGGGAATGGATGGAAACTTTTAAAATACACAATAAAGTGAGTTCCAAGATACGAGAAGAGACTGCAGCCAAAGAGTGTTAGGAAAACTTGGTTTATATGTAGAAATCGTTTTTTTCCAAATTGTTCTGTAAAAGCAGATTTTCTGGGAATGTTTTCATCCACACAGAAATTCAGCAAAGAACCACAAACATGGTAGTAACTCCACCAGGCCTGGGTGTGTTGGCTACAAAAGTACACAACAAACTGGAACACAGGTGTGGAGCATGTACATGTATATGTAAACAAAAGTTAAAAATAAAAAAAGGTAGTCAGTAGTCCAAATAAGGGGACATAATGGACACTTTGTGGTTTTTGAACCAGTCTGAAATCAGTCTTCCACTTCCTCTGGATGGCATTAATTTGGCCTCCAGTTCTAAAGTTAAAAACCTTGGAGCTATTTTTGATCAAGATATGTCTTTTGAGCATTTTCAGTCTTGGTTTAGAGCTCATTGTAGCACTGGTGAAAGTCACTATATTCTCACAGCCTCTGACAATGGACAGGTGTCTAGACCGCTCCTGTTAGACCTCAGTGCTGCATTTGATACGGTTCATCACAATATTTTACTACAGAGACTTACACAGAGTAAATAATACTCGCTTTAACTTTATGCTTTATTTCTTCAAAGTAGGATAGTCAAATTCTCCACAATTAAAAATATATATATAAGCCTGCACAGTTTATTGTTTTAGTTTTTCAAAAACTGGCAAAATAATATATTTTTTTCTTAAAAAGAATCCAATCTTCTGTGATAGACTTAAAACCTGAACATGGGCACCAGTGACCCCCTGCAACCCAAAAAGGAAGAAACAAGTAAAGATAATGGATGGATGGATGGATGGATG